CACGGTGCTGTGCAGCCTGCTGTGGGTGACCCTGCTTGGGCAGGGGGTTGGGCTGGGTGACCCACAGAGGGCCCTTCCAACCCCCAACATTCTGGGATTCTGTGATTAACGGTTTTCCTCATAAATCAGCGCTGTGATGAACTTTGCTGAGCTGTTGATGGTTCTCCCCTCTCACCAGCCAGCAGCGCCCAGGCTCAGCACAACCTGCCTGCCCCAGACGCAGCCAAGCAAACCCCTCCTGCTGCCACACCGCTCCACTCCTCCTTTTTCTTTTGCTCCTGCCCCACACACAAAATCCTCCCTTGACAGCCACCACCACCCAACACCTCCAGCCTTCCTACGAGCTCATTTATTCCCCCTCTTGCTCCAAAGGTCTCCTTCCCAGGGAGGTTGTGGAGTCTCCTTCTCTGGAGATATTCAAGCCCCGCTTGGACAAGGGTGCAGCCTGCTCTGGGTGACCCTGCTTCAGCAGGGGGGTTGGACTAGATGACCCCCAGAGGTCCCTTCCAACCCCTACTATTCTGTGATTCTGTGATTCTGTGGGTGACCCTGCTTCAGCAGGGGGGTTGGACTAGATGACCCACAGAGGTCCCTTCCAACCCGTACTATTCTGTGATTCTGTGATTCTGTGATTCCCACCGAGCGAGCCACGCACACACCTTCTCTTGCTGTTCATGCTTTCCACTTTGGACCAGGAATCCATCTCCGGGTTGTAAACCTCCACAGTGCTCAGCCTCAGCTGACCGTCGTAGCCGCCGACGAGCAGCCCGTTCACCCCCGCCCCCCCGACTCGGCTCCGGGCCGTCGTCATCGGCTGGCACTTCTCCCAGCGGTTGGCAATGGGATCGAAGACTTCCACCACGTTCAGCGAGTCACCTGCATAAAAATTTGCTACTCAAATTAAAAAGGGGGAGACCTGATAAAACGCCGTGCCAGCGCGCTCGCCCGTAGCTGAGGCACGTGAGGGGTGAGCGGTTGCTGCTCTGACCCCGGAGATGGGGCTGACGCAGGGAATTTGCCCGCTCTTCTCTGGGAAAACAGCCAGGATCTCACACGTCTCGTTCCGGGCGCTCACACATCCTACTCCAGCCTCCCTCCTCCCATAGCAAAGTCCAGTCAGAGGCGTTTCCCAGCCACGTTTCTACTGATTCACAATGAGAGGCTGCTCTGAAAAAATCATATACACTGCGCTCCGCAACGCAAAAGGACTGCGGAGCGTTTCCAAGCTTGCCCGTGCCCTGTACCCACGACTGGGCAAGTCCCAGGGGGTGGCAGTGGGGCCTGACAGCCTCACAGGGGCAGCAGAACCCTGCGGTGTCACGGGAACGCATCTTCTCTACGGGGATAAGCCAGCCGGGCTGTGGGCAGCCGAGGTCCTGCATGGGGGTGAGTGCAGGGTCCTGCGCCTGGGGAGGAACAACCCCAGGCACCAGT